TTTATAACCTCTAAATAAATGTGTTAATATATAATTAATCTTTATTTTGATGGATGGTTGAGATTAATTCTAAAAAAAAAAAAATTAGAATTAATCTCAACCGTCTATCAAAATAAAAATTGATTCAAAATTAACTTATTTATTTTTAATTGAATTGGTCACCAAATATATTTGACAAGGAAAAAAAAACAATTACAACAGAAAAGACAAAACAATAAGATCATATCATTGAAAAAGTATGGACTCACCAAAAATGAAGCCACCAAATAATTTTATAAAATGATTGAAGATATAAAATGAATTTCGTTTTGGGTTAAGAGTGAGGATTTCATTTTCTTCTTTTTGGGTTTAGTTGATGTAGTTATAACAGAATATGAGATCCAATAAAATTAGTTGCAAATGATGAAGGATAGAGTTCTATAAATGTATCTCAACGCCTAACAACATCACTCGATGACATAGTTTGGAGCCACGGCCAAAATCCTCTCGTCTCTTTGTGAAGACTTTTTTCTTGTTTCTTCTGCTTCCGAGGCTTCTTGCTCGTTCGCTAACACTATAAGATGACCTTCTTTGCATACCAAACTCTGTACGGTAAATAGGTAATGTTAGACAAAAACATAATATGAAATGATCTTAACTTCATAAAGTTGGTTTTGGATTTACCTCAATGATGGCTCTGAGTTTCTTGATATCGAGTTTGACTTGCTCTTGCGAGCTGTATTTCTTTTTCTCGTTCTGTTGGTCGATGTACCATCGAATCAGTTCCTTCTGCCTTATTCCAGGCAATTCAGAACCTAACACACACAAAAAAATTTACTCGATACATAATTTATCGGTTTCAAGAGCTTAAGAGGAGGATAAACGGTAAGGAGAAGGGTGATTTTGCTTACTGTCTTTTGCTACAGTTTCTTCATGTTGTCTAAGGCGAATGACTAGGGCCTGTGTGATTCTATCATATTCTTCCTCACTAATCACCAGTTTTGGAGCTGTTGCTCCATTATCTGCTGCTACATCAGATGATGTTTGTTAAGGTTTTTTAAGTAAAGAACTTGAAGGAGTCGGAGAAAAAATAAGAACATATCTGGTGAAATGCAAGTACCTGCAGTTGCAGAAGCTGGCTCGGCTGCACCATTCTGATGATCTTCATCTCCATTACTGGGATTTTCTGCGTCATCTGCGCCTGCGCCATCCATATCGTCGACGTTCGCATCTTGATACTCAGAAAGATCGATATCCCCTGACTCAACACTGGACAAGAGAAACATATGTGGTTTTTTACAGTTAAAATATTGGGAGAATTCAAAAGATGAGATTAAAAAAGAGAGGTTTGAATGTTACCTGATGACTGAAGTCTTCAACAGTCTGACAGCCAAAAGAACATGACTTGGTTTTACCTGAAAAAAAAAACAAAAACCCCTTCTCAGATAAAGCAAATGACTGGTGGGAAACAAAAGAGAAACGAGAAACAATAGTTCAGAATAATCACCAGAATTTCCAAATGACTTCTAGCAATGGCTTCTGAGAGCCTAATCAGTGCCTCCAGCTGCCTAACTGTCATTCGATATGCGACTCTTGTGCCAGGAGTTGTATCGCCTCTTCGTAGAGCAACATAAGACTCAACCAATAACTTTCTTGCCTCTGGGCTTAGCTGCAACACAGATGAGGAAACCAAAAAGATGTTAGGCATCTCCGGCAGAAGAGCCTTTTACAATCAAAACATTTTTGGGGATAGTCTACAACCTTTGGCTTCAAGGTTTTTGCATATGCAATGTAGCGCTTGAGTTGTACAGTAGTAAATTCAGGAGAAAGTGCTGCTTCATGCTTCTGGTGAACTCGTACAATATGATGGGCAATGTGGTAATCCGTTACCTCATCAGGGTCGTCAATCATAACGTACACAAGATCAAACCTCGAGAGAATGGCAGGTGGAAGGTTAACGTTATACTGGAAATAGCATGACCAGACCACAATTAGATATCAAAAAGTCTCCATGAAAGTTCTTAAACATCGATAAAAATACAATTATCGATCTGACTGGATTCATCTTTGAGGATAACCTCACCTTAAGTGGTTTAGATTTATCATATCGCCCACCAACCGGATTAGCTGCTGCAAGGATTGATGTCCTGGCATTCAAGGTTGCTTGTATACCAGCTTTTGTAATGCTTATCGTTTGCTGCTCCATTGCTTCATGAATGGCAACCTTATGTAACAGAAAATTTCCATCAGCCACAGTCCAGGAAACTCAATTCTCTGTACTCACTGTAATAAGCCATGATGCTCACTAACCTGATCTTTGATATCCATCTTGTCAAACTCGTCTATGCAACATATTCCATTGTCAGCAAGCATTAAAGCACCAGCCTGTTAAACAGCCAGATAGATTAATTAGAACAAGAGCATAGAAATCACATTTATGAAGGGAGGCTAGCATTCTTCAAAACGATCATGAAGTTTCGGTCACTTGAAAGTTTCGTTGCTAGGAATTAACCATCAATTCAAATTTTACCTCAATGCAGAATTCACCAGTTTCCGGTTCTTTAGCCACAGTTGCAGTTAACCCAGCTGCAGAAGAGGACTTCCCAGATGTATACACAGATCTTGGAACTATGCCTGCAGTATACCTGCAAACAATAAACCAAAACCGAGGGCTCAGGTTTCAGAAGAAGAAGAAAATAACAGAAAGCTTTGATTTTAAATTCAGTACTTGAGGAATTGGGATTTAGCACAGCTGGGATCCCCAACTATACAAACATTGATGTCTCCTCTAAGATTGATGCCTTCATGAGTGGTCTTGTGCACACCGCCTAAGAGCATAAGCAGAACCGCACGCTTGATGTCTTGATGACCAAAAACGGTTGGGGCCATGCTTCCAACTAACTTATTGAAGTAATCAGGAGTATTTCTCATCTGCTGAATTTCATCTAACTCTTCTCCCTGCCAAGTTTAAACAAGGACCACTTCATTAGTTATATATAGAGTAAGTATGTAAGAGGTCACCTAAAAGAGCTTAAACAGGATCTTATAACTGTCTCAATTCGTATAGGTAATTTATTCTAAGCCTCACCGTGAACTGCTGCTGATCATCTTCGTTAGAATCATTTTGGCGGTTCCTCATGTCAGTTTTCCTACTACCATCAGCAATCTGGAAAATATAAACATTGAGATTGATCAACACATTTCACTTAAGTTTTGATTTGACAGTAACTATAGTTGACAAACCTGCACTGAGTTTGCGATAAAGGCAAGCCGATACGAAAGATCTCTAACTCCCAGAGCCTTGAGACCTTTGACACCTTCATGCCCAACTGTAGAGCTCTTCTGTTGTGATGAGTCTCGACGGCATTCTGCTCTCTCTCCTGGCGCTGCCAGTGCCGATATATCAGGTATAACAACTACTGTTCCGGTAAAGATAACCCTGTGAGGACAAACCCAAGAGGATAATGAATGCAACTCTTGATTCTTATAAAGATGGGGAAATAACTTAGAGAACTGGCGCAAGAGGAATCTTACGTGTCACCTGCCCTAGCCTGTTCCACAATCTCATGACGCAGAATAACATCCAAAGACCGCGGCAAAGAACCTGCAGGTATCTCTTTAGAAGTCTCCTGCATTCTAACTCTTTGCCAATCGGCAAACTTGCTCTCTTGTCTAAGCAGTGCCCATTTAGCTCTATTCAGACAAGTTGGGCTCACACAGATCGTAGGCTGCACACAAAGTGAAACAATGAATACAAGCTAACACTTCCTACAGACTCTTTAAAGAAAGACCAAAATCAAAAGCAACAAATACCTGTGTGTACTTAAACTGTTGTTCAACGTTCTTTATAACACTACCACAATCTAAGCACTTGAAAGTCCCATAAAGAAGCTCAGGTCTCACTTCACTTGTTCGAGTAACCACACCAGTCACCGACACTAACTTCCCAATTTCTGCAGTAGTTAGCTCCCTCAACCTGCAAAATTAATAACAGAGTCACCATCACAACCACCAACAACACTATACATTCATAATAAAATATGAATCTGAGAGAGAGAAAGCAATTTTACCTCTTTGTGAAAGGGAGATTATAGAAGGAAACATTAATATCTTTGTTCGGAGTCTCATCAGAAATGAAAGAAGGATTCATTTCAATCACAAACCTCTTACACGCATTCCTCAAATATGGCTCAAACCTAACCAAATTTTAACCCAAAAATCAAAAAAAATCCACACAAAAAACTAGGGTTTTTAGATCAATTCGACCAATTAGAGAGAGAGAGAACACAACACCTCAGATACTCGTCGGCGATTGCTCTCTGAAGAGAGTCATTAAAACCCATTACATGTGAGAAATCAATGTACATCATCGTCGATTCACCGCCTCGGATTGCTTCAATCTCCGCTTCGTAGTACAGCTCCGGCTTGTTCGCATCTAATCGAAAACTGAACCAAAAAAATTGAATATTAGATCCAAAAATTGAAAGAAAATTTCCGAGAGAATTAAAACCCAGAAAACACACAAACCTCTTGAGGAAATCTAAGAACACATTCTCCACTTGAATCGCTTGTTCGTCCATTACAAACCCACCAAAAGCTTCCATTTTTCAAAATCTACCCTCACTGGAAAAGAAAAAGAAAAAAAACTCCTTTTTCCTTGAAAAATCTGTCCGCGAAAAACCCTAAATCTCGTTTGAAACACGAAGCAAAAAAAGCAGGCAAAGTGGTTCTCTTCTCCTCACTGGGTAAAGAAAATGTTCATTGCCGTTGTGGCGGGAAATCAAGCGGGCCCCTCTAACATTTTCCCGCTAAAAAGCATAAGCAATACGTGAATTGGACCTAGAAATTGGGCCTTAATAGGCTTTAAATTATTATTTTTATTTAGTTGATAGGAATATTATCCAAGTAGAGGCAAAATCTACAACACCAGCCACTCATATTATCATC